GTCTGTCAATTCAGCAGACGGGGTGTCTGTCCGTCTGTCAATTCAGCCCATGGGGCGTCTGTCCGTCTGTCAATTCAGCCCACGAGGCGTCTGTCCGTCTGTCAGTTCAGCCCACAGGGCGTCTGTCCGTCTGTCAATTCAGCCCATGGGGCGTCTGTCCATCTGTCAATTCAGCCCACGGGGCATCTGTCCGTCTGTCAATTCAGCCCACGGGGCGTCTGTCCCCATAGCTGGCACTTCCCAGGGACTTCCCGGAGGAAGGGGACCGAGGCCCCTGCTAGAAGCTCCTGGCACGTGAGAACAGCCTCCAGAGCCGTCCTGTCCAGTACGGAATCTCTGGCCACATGTAGCTCTTTAAACTAAAATCTGCTGCAATGAGGTAAAACGTAAGATTCGGTTCCGCTTTTGCTGTAGCCGCATATCCAGCGCCGGAGAGCCACCAAATTGATGACGCGTCTCATATTGATTTTCCCACCTCCCGTGTTCCACTCCCCATACCCCTCACTCCTGCTAACTGGAATTACTTCTCAAATAAATAAACCTTTGTCTCTGGCTCTCTGGTTAGTGTGTGTGTGTGTGTGTGTGTGTGTGTGTGTGTGTGTGCGCGCGCGCGTGTGTGTGTACGTATGTGTGTGTTTGTGTGCATCTGTGTCCACTCACACATATGCTCAAAAAAGTTGCTTAACTTCCCCGGGCCTCATTTCAGCATCTGTTAAGGGAATGATCAACGCATGGGTTTATTCCCACTCCCCAAGCAATGCTTGTTTTTTTCTTTTGTTTTTTCCAGCACGTTCTCCACTCCCCATCCCTCACTCTCATCACGGTCCCAGGTGGCATCAGTGCCATCGGCAGAGGCCAAGGATGGCAGGGTTGGAGGGGGCGGCGGGAGCCCTGTCCAGGGTAGATCTTGACTCACAGAGCTTTGGCACTAGGAAGTGCGAAATTATCTGGGAATATGTAAAACATTCAAAATAGGGAACAGGTTTCCAGTTTCCTGTGGCAAGACGCACAGGCCTGGGGGAGGCCAGGCCCCCCACCGCCCGCCTGCCCCCCAGCCCCAAGCCTCTACTTTTTCATCGTGAAACGAGGACAGTCCCCCCAGTCCTGGCTCCAGCCTCACCAGGACTTGAGGTCTGCGGCTACAAACGCACTTTGTAAACAGCTCGGGGCTGGACACATGTAAGGAATTAGAGGGTTATTTTTCTGGATTCTGGACCTAGAAGCCAGGCCCTAAGACATGAAGTAATGCTTTGTGTTTGGTTTTGTTTTGTTTTTCTTTGCAAATAGGAGGCTGGAAAGGGTGGAAGGAAGTGGTGGGACCGGAGACAAAATGGACAATGAGAAAAGACGAGACTTTGGCTTGAGGTTTTTATCCTAAGATGGAGCTGCTCTCGGAGGGTTCTGGTTGCCCTCGGTGCGCGCTCCCATCCCCTCCCTGGCCTCCTCTGCTTCCCTCTGTTCCTTCCATTGTTCTAGAGCCAGAGGCACTGCTCCTTGTAGGATGCTGCCTCCCCTCCCCCTCGGAACGTAGGGACCAGGCCCTTGTGGGGAGAACACAAGGGGGCTGGAGGGACGGAAAGGCCGGGGAGGGGCTGCCAGCTTGTGCCAAGCATGCAGTGCAGTCACCGTGTTCGTTTTTTAAAAGTCAAATCCCTCGTCGTTGGGCTCCCCCACCATCCCCAGAGCCCCTCTATTATCCTTAGGCCATTTGGTAGTTGTTGCTATGGAGACCACAAGCAAAATGGCATATGCAAATCAACACAAGCAATAACAGTGGGAAAGGGCGGGAGAAACCAGCGGTGGGGCGGGTGGAGGGGGGCCCGGAACGCTTCCGCCTGCACCCATAGAGCTTGAGGAAGAAAGGACTCTCGGAGGGTCCGGGCACAGGTCAAGGAGGCTCCAATACGAAGACCTCTCGGCCTGGGAAAATGCAAAGAGAGGGGCTGGTTCCCTCTCCCCAGCCTCAAGCATTAACAGGGGCTGGGAGTGGGTGCAGGGCATGCAGAGGGGGAGCTGGCTTTGGGGGAAGACCCCCACGCTAGGCGAGGCCCTCTTGGCCAGGAGACTCCTGGCTTACAGCCACTTTGGGATGAGCCAGGAAAGATCGGCCCTCCAAACCCGGGTCCAAACCCGGGTCCAAACCCAGGCTCGGCCAGGCCCCTCCACGCCCTCCCTTTGGAAATAGTCTGTGCCCTTCCTCTTCCGCCGGCGTCTGGCTGTGCAAAGAGGCAACTGAACAGCTCAGTTTTCAAGAGGAAAAACCGCAGCCCCCAAGAATAGAAATATGTGAACCTGAGGCTTCTTGACTGAAATAAGAACTGACTCCGTGGAATGGAGATTTGGGGACTTTCCCCTTTTTGCTAGCGGTTTCCCAATCCAGGCTGATCAAAGCCACGGCAGATGCGCTCCGATTGGCTGCGTGAAACCAGGGCCCCAGGACGCTGGGCTCGGAAGCCACCGAGAGAAAAGGCAGAGCCCCGCTGATTCCCTGTCCAGGCTGAGTGTGGGAACAAGCGCTCGTGTTCTCAGGGATGTTTTGTGAAGCAGAGATTAGCGCTCAGTGTGGAACCGCTGTCTGAACTTCAACCCAAGCTGCCGAAGCTTCTAACTAGAATACACGGTCTGCAGAAGTTGCTGGAACCTGGACCAGGGCGGGCCTGCCGCAGGGCTGCTGCCCGGCTCTGCACTCTCCCCCATGCCCCACCCTGGCCACATTCTGCATCTCACCTGGTTCTGCTTTCCCGGTCTCTTTCTCTCAAGCCTTTCTCTTTTGATATCTTGCCAAACGGATGTGGGGCTCCTGTCACCAGCTCCGAGCTCAAGCTGCCACAAGGGGATCCTGCTTTGCTCCAGGGGTGTCATCTCCCCCTCCAGTGAGGTGTAGTACCCAGGGCGGTGTGATGCTGGGTGCCCACCTCCCTCCACAGAAGACAAAGGGACCAGTTCTGCATCCCCTGCCCTGGGACAGCCAGGGGCAGCCGTGTCCTGAGCTCAGCCAGACGCTCTCCTGGGACTCTGATCCCTGAACAGGGGGCTCAGGGTGGTCAGGAATGGGGTGATGTCCTTCTCGGTGCTACCACAGCTGCAGCCCCTGCTGC